TAAGAATATAGATAAGAACTGATATATTAAAGAAAGGCAGCCAATAGCTCCTCCTTCATTGTCAATTTAAACATGGTAATGTCCTCTGTTTTCAGTAGTGCTTATGGTTGGCTGAGTATGCACAGAATGGCAGACTGCAGCATCCTCTGCAGGTCTAGTCAGATATCTTACTGAATTCAGTGAAGTGTACTGAGACTTATCAGGTGACATATAATACATTTCAGCCCAAGTGTGTAAATTCTGACCTTTCCAGCCTTTTTCATCTATTAATGAGTATTCAATAAGTATGTTCAATAGGCAGTAAGAAAGCCACTATTTAGTGTCATGGTGAAGGTGTTGGACTGGTATCAGGGAGACTCTCTTCCATCCTCAGCCATGGAAATTCCTTGGGTGACCTTGGGACAATCTCTCTCTCTCAGCCCAATCAACTTACCGAGGTGTTGTGGGGAGGGAAAATAGGAGGAGGTAGCACTATGTACCCTGAACTGCCATACAAAAAGCACAGTATAAATCTAATAAACCGTCATGGGTTGAATGTGGTGGGATTTAAGGAAAGCTTTCAGATCAGACACTTTTTTTTTTTTACCAAGCAAGCCTACTCCCATGAGTATGTTCCTCTTTTTCCTCTAGAAGTAAAGTATCCGTGAATTGAAGACTATTCTCATTGCCCCCTATCTCTTGCTGGTCAGGCTATTGGGCTATTGCTTGTGATCAAGCAGCCATTTTCTCGGTTTTCTGCCAGTCAGCACGTGTTTTCCACTGGCTTTTTAAAAAAAGCACACTGAAAAGCTCAAGCCTTTCTCTGAGGGAGCTTTTAACAGCTGGAGCACGGTGAAAAAGTCAGGAGGAAGATTCAGGTGCATCCTTTCAGTTTCCTATCAAAAGTTATCAAAGGCTGAGATGCAATTATACATAAGCAGGTGGTCTAGAAGAAAGGCAAATGGCAGGTATTTTTACCATGGAGGAACCTCCCCCCAAAAAAAGTTGAGTTATATATACCCAGTGGAGTTCCCAGAAAAAAACAAAACAAACAAAAAAAAAATCCCAAAATAGGGGACTAGTATTATTTTGTGCAACAACAAGAAGAAGAAAAACCCCTGACTTTTTGGAACAGTGGCAATTTTTTATGTGAAGAGGATTGGCATGGTTTGTAGCATCTGATTGTTTCCAGTATTCAGCACTGAGAAATAGGCGAGCACATCTGCAGGCAGTGCTAATGGATAAAGCAACATCAATTCTCTAAAAGCCATACCTCCTTTTCTGAGTCCCTCTTTCTCTTGCAAAGCTTCTCTTTAGCACTGAGCTGCAAAAACTGAAGACCTCTTTTTTCTCTTTAACGTGTTGCGTCCTACTGCCACAGTACTTCTTTACAGCTGAGGAACCATTGTTCAGGCAGGCATCTTCTCACTCACAAGCTGCTGTTCAAAAGCCATGAGAAACATCATAGTTCATATCCACTTAGGATGATTGAAACAGTAAGATAGATTCACAGCTATCATTCTGAGAGTTTTAGAATATTGAAATTATTACTCTCTTAGGGGACTTTCATATATCCCCTTATTAATCCAGTAAGAGACTATATTAGCAATGCTTCTGAAAGGTCTCATCTCTGGTGTCATTTATATGCCTCCTCATAGTGTTTCTGAAAACACAGAACTCCCAATGTTTTTCTTTGAATTGGGATGTATCAGCTTCTGTCAAGAAGCTTCTGCAGGCCATGGGGACAATGTGACCTCATTAGCCAACAGTTGCCGTTGTTAGGTTATCTCTCCCATCGTGCAATCCCCCCATTATCTAATTCCTGGATTTTCCAATGTCCATGCACAGTACTTATCTTCTATCCCCCCATCCTTGCCCAGTTCACCCATCATAGAAACATACTGGCATGGTTGATAGATGGATTACTTTGTTTATGATCCCAGACCAGTAAATAATGGTATGGTCCTAGGAAAAGGGCCTACAACATTGCTGAAATGCCACCCTTACAACTTACAGTGGTTTAGATGGCAACAAAAGTATGTCGCCCTGATGACTGGGAAACTTTTTGTATGCGTATATTTATAATCAACCTTTCCCCGTATCACTTCCCTTCAAACAGTACAGAATTTACTGAAGTGCCTATCCAAGAATACATGAAGCGTGTTGGAGAAGACTATTAACAATTCCTTTTCTTTTGAGACACTGTTATTGGTGAGCTTGAAAGGAGAGCGAACACTGATTGGTGGACAATTCTTTCCAAATTCTCCACTCACAAACTTATACTGTAAATATAACCACATCCAAACCATTTTAATGACTTTCTATAAATGCTTCCAAAATGTTGGCTGCCATGTCTAAAATATGGAACTCTTGATGGAAGTTAGCATTTGAGTGAATATTAACTCTTCCAAGTTCCGACCTATTTTGAATGCCAGCAAATTTGCTTTATAATGTAAGTGGTGTCAACAGGAATGGGTGCTCAGAATGCAGTCCTGTCACTCAAAATCCATTATCATGTTGCTCGTGCCGGAGATAGGCAGTTTTTAGGAAAACTGAAACTAGAATACTGTAAGTTCCCCTCCATTCAGAATCAATTTAGCATATTCGTATTTGCTAAATGGCATGTCAGTCTGTATCATTCAGCAGTGAAAATCTGGAAGGAGAATAAGTACAATATCTGTAGGAAAGGCTCATTAAACAATCTAAATGAATATTTTCCAAACCAGATGATAAAAGAACATTTCTGTCTCTATTTGAATGCTCAGTTTAAAGTTCTATTCAGCTTTGACATCAGGTAACTTAGAAATGTCTTATATAAATATAAAATATATATTTTATATAAAATATAAAATATTTTTTTATTTTATTTTTATTTTATTATAAAATAAAATATAAAAGTGTCTCTTTTATAAAATTGTTTCAATGGGAAATCTTAAATTATTAAATACTTCTTGCTGTGGGAATTTTCAACCCAAAAAGTAGGTAGAAAAATTGATGAAAATATATAAAATACTGTATATATTTATCTACTGACATCAGACTATTAAATACCACTACATATCAGCTATCAAATCCAATTAATAATAAATTCCTCTGCATTTTAACTCACAAATACCAGAAGCCAAGGATCAAATATCATTGCAAATTAAGAGCCATGTTGGCTGGGAATCCTGATAATTGAGGTCTAACACATCTGGAAAGTAGAAGGTTGGAAAAGCCTGTTTCAGATCAGTCCAAAAGAGCAATTGCCCTTTGATTTATTACTCAAATTGCTGACATATATAGAGACTGAAATCTGTTTATAATCCTTCTTTGCAGTTTTTGACCATAGCCAGATTTGCCTCTATGATGGATGGATGGATCCAGTGGTGTTGGTGTAGCAATGTGTGTAAGGGCCAAACTACAGGTAGTCCCCAGTTTAAGAATGAGTTCCATTCCCAAGGTCTGTCA